GAAAGTGTCAGCTCCTGTCTAGGGCCAAGCCAATCTGAGGTTACCATGCACTAAGTGACCAACAGCTTTGGCCTGTTGGAATCATCATTCACTCTCCAGTCTCAGCCCCTTGCAACTACTGCACATCGTGCTTTTAAAATCACTACACAGGAGCAGCAAACTGGTTATATTTAGAGCAATGCTAGGTATGGAAGCACTTATTTTAGCTTCTCTTGTTACAGATACATGAGAGAATCAAATGCTCCCTGCACATCAGCAAAGGAAAGACTATGAAAGTCTTCTTGGCTCTGCTGGTGAGAAAGGCTCTGGAAAGAATGGGTCGAGGAGCTGGGAGCTTACAGGATGTTTCCAAGTTTCAGCAGATGCAAAATAGCCTCATACTAGCATGGAACTAAAGGAGAAGTTCTAAAATGTGCTACAAAATCAAAATTGTACTCCGCTCCTGGAATTCCAAACAGTTTATATTTACTTTTCCAATATTATGTTGAGGGTGGGGAGGTCACTGAGGGTGCACCAGCTGGTCAGTAGAAAATCTCTGAGGACTGAAGACCCTAACATAAGCATTTGCTCCAAAGCAAGCATCCTCCAGTTCAGGTTTCCCTAAGTGGATGGATCCAGGCTGAATGTGGCTCTGGGCAGCCTGGTCTGGTGGATGGCAACCCCACACATAGCAGGAGGGTTGAAACTAGATGATCATTATAGTCCTTTTCAACCCAGGCCATTCTATGATTCATTCTATGAAGTGCTTCCTCTTTAGCAGACTGGCCCAAATGAGAAAGGCAGTGCTCTGTGAGACTTCCAGGCTCTCAGGGCCACTGCCATGCTAGGCAAACTGGACAGTTCCAGAGCGTGGATCTGAACACTACCCCACAGTTGTACACTTGTTTTTTTCTTCTGACTGTTATCAGCTATCTGATAAAAAGTGTTATTTGTCTCTGGGGATCTCACTTTGCATTCACAGTGGCCCACCAGCTGTGCAGACCTGCAAATAGCCTGTTACAAACACACCATAAAAACAAACACCTGCTCCCGCTTTTTTAATACTGCTGTCTCCTTCTATTGCCATTTTCTGTTTTTTATGTTTGGTACCTACCAGTCTGTCCACACACACGCATGCTCACGTACAGGCACAAACCAATTAGCACAAATCAATTAGCAAGCCCTCTTTCCTGTGTGAATGCAGCTGTTCCTCGGGCAGACGCATTTCACAGGCTGGTGACACCTCCGCAGCTTATTTTGGGAGCTGAAGGTTGATGTTTCACACGCTGGCCTCAAAATTACAGAAACAAAATCTCTGCTCTCAAATTCTCAGGCCTTGTTCTTCACACTTGCCAGCAAGCAATGCATGCAAATCCCCAGTGAGCAATAGAAGGTCAGGACGGGTCTTCCTGCAGGAAGGAGATGCAGACGGGACACAGAGCTATAGGAAGCAGAACTGCAACAGAGATGCTTTGGGATCTCAGAGGTGTGAGCTGCCCTGGCTGCAACCTCTGCAGAGGGACAGATGTCAACGCCTGGTCTCAATGCCATCGAAAGCACACCAATGACAGAGTGCACAAATGTAGAAGAGTTGGTGGGACAGCTGAGGGGTTTGCAAACTGCCAGCTCTGGGACAAGGCCTGTGAGTTTCCCCTCTGACAGTGGTGTGAGTAATTGTGGTGCGCTCATTAAAGAAATATATATTTTTCCTGTGATTTTTCAGCTAGTCACCGCTGTTTGTTGAAGCTGCTCATTAATTGTTGTTTACGGAAAGATATTTCCTTCTTCATCTCCCTGAAAGACATTCCGTTGCCTCTCAGTACACAGCTCAATTCTAAATTGCACAGAAATTTAAGATATAAAAATGCCATGTTTTCCAGGGTGTGAAGTGGCTGGCCCGGGTTTGCATGCATAGTGTTGTGTGCTCTGTCCCCTTCTCAGCTGCAATCAATACCACCCTGATTTCTTTATCATGCCTGATGTGGGATGGAGATGAGCAATCCTGTTCATACCTCAGCTTTGGCATTTTGATTCCCAAACAGCCCATTCACTAGTAGCATAAAAATAATGTAAAAACAAATACATCAAATAAATGTAGCTTGAAGACACCTCTATTACAACCCTGATCTGTATTCTGTAAGCAAAATATGTAGTGTGCATACAAACACTGGGCGAATGAAGGGATATGGGTATTAACACTGACATATCAAGCGGTTCCTTCATAAGACCATATTATCTCTGCAATCACCTAGAAGCATTTGCATTTCACAGACCACGTTTTCCAAATGGCACCTCTCGCCATTGCCTCTTGCTGTTCTTGGCTGATGTCTAGGCAAAGAATGAGGCCAAATGGGCAGTTTTCAGACCAGTGGTGGGAAGTGGTTGGAGCTGATAGCTGGGGATCTCCTCCTTTGAGGGTTCTGGGGAGGTTCTGATGCTTCTGGATGCAAAGCAACACTGCTGAAAGGTTGTGTGTTCAACATACAAGGTTAGCAAGTCACTAGGCAGGAAAAGGTCAGATGAATCATGAGCAGAATTCAGCCTGCTCTTCACATGGGTTGGGTGACTTTTTCACTATCTGGTATTGTTTCTTGCAAAGCGTTTATCAGGATTCCTGTTTGCAGCACTCCATTCACAGGGCACAATTCCTGGCTGAAGTCACATGGCATTTTTATATCCCTCATCAGATGAAAACTGCATACTGGGGAGGGAGGTTTAAATAAGCCACCCATTTTGCAAACTGCCTCCTCCTGTAGTTGTGCTGACCGAACAATACAGCACCAGCAGCTCAGAAAGTTTGAAAAGCACCATAATCAATTAATGGATTTTTTTCACTATCGACCCACTCCTAAATCCTGGCCACTAGTTCAGATGGGGCAGTTTATAATGCTAGTAAAACAAAACACCGGTGTAAATCATCCCAGCATCACTTCAGCAAGCTGCTTCCACGTACCAGACAGGCTCCAGGCCTTCACTGTGTGCTCTGGACTCTAGCACAAGAGAATTTACATTCTCTTTGCAGTTCCAATGAGACACCTTCTACTTCTCCTAAGTCACTGTGATGACACTTGCTCTTAAACAATGCCTGTACCACTCAGGGTACTTTATCTGATAAAACAAAACCCAAACCCTCTTTTTCAAAGCAGGAAAACACTTTGGCTTGAAGACAATTTATATGACACCGCACAAAAACGCGGCTTGACTAAAATTTATAATCCTGAATTTTTGACCTACAGATAAGCAGAACAGGAGGTGACTGGGACATCTATGCAGGATGTGGGACGTTAGAGTTAAGTTCCCACTCTGCCAGTGGAAACATGATCCACTGCTCCCATCTCTTGCTAGGAGCGTCCCTACCCTCTATCTTCCATCTGTCCCAGGCTGCCAGGCTGTGGGTGCTCGCAATATGCTGTTGCAAAACACTCAACTGTTTCTTGGCAATGGGAGAAGAAAACAAGGGAATGTCCACGTGAGGGCAGAGACACATGCATTTGTACTTGGTAAATAGGTAGGCATAGTTTAGCTAGAGAAATAAACTAATTTAGCATTCAGCTGTATGTCTCTCCTAGCACACCTCAACAACTGGAGTAATTGGGCCACAGTTAAAGGAACAAAACCACGGAAAAGAATCTTCCCTACACCTGCAGAAATGCTTGTGGCCTGTCTGAGGCCTTTTCTGATGCTTCACCTTCAGTAATGGGAGAGTTCAGGACACAGAACCATAGAATCATTATAGTTGGAAAAGACCTCCAAGACCACCTAGTCCAACCATCAGTCCATCACACCAGAGCCATCCTGAATTTTATCTTCAGAACACCACTATGAGCTTTGCATTCACAGCTGCACCCTTCACGTGCCTGTAAACTGGCACAGATGAATTCCACATTTAGAATCTTTCTACAAAAGTAAGCCTATCAGTACAAGCAGTAGGTTGCCCTGTAATGGGCTCATTTACAACCTCCTATTTTGTGGGTACTCTAAACACCACAGCAAGCACGTGCAAGAGAATGAGAGAGACAAGATCATCTCTCTTTAGTACTTAAGTCACAACACTTATACTAATGTTAATCAAGTAATTATTTCTCTGTCAGGAAAGATCTGTAGATAAACTCCAGCCCACTATCGGAAATGGTTCTGCTGGCATCAGTCATTGCTACTTCCAGAACAGGTGTCACTAAATATTTCTCAATTATTAATAAGCCTGAAACCAGGTGAATATGTACAGTCATGTCACAAGGGAAACTGCTATATTAGAAAACCCCTGAGTTAAGCAGGATTGCCTGATAGCAAGTTGGAAGCGCTTCCTGTTTGTGAGGTGTGAATTTGTACCATCCTGTTGATACAGCAGGGCTGAGACGTGGGGATTTATCAGCTGATAGCACAGGGTCTGATCCAAACCTCATTCATGGATCAGGAATTTTTTCCTCATCTCTCCCACAGACACAGAAGGAACCACAAAGGGAATTAATGCTATATCAGTTGGTGCCAAGAAGAGAAATGTCCTCTCTATCCAAAAGTCCTGTTCCCAAGACATAAGCCAGCTGATGAAGTTTTAAACTCCTTTGGGTTCCCTATCTTCACCCACCCCAGGTTTGTGTGCCTTTCTGATCTGTTTTCTGGGCTGTTATTTTCCATCTTGACTTTCAAGCCAGCGTGGAAAAACTTCTCATGGAACACTGTGCAACTGTATTCTCTTTAGACATGCTGCTGACACCGTTCTCATGTATAAATAGGGCCACACATTCTGAAGAAAGGTCTTCCAGGGTGAATTTTACCCACCACTTGTAGGTTGTGGAGAGTCACTACACATAGCCTGTTATATCTGCCTTCTTCACACAGCCACAGTGTGTAACAGCATCTGAGCAGACATGAAAATCAGCCTCTTGAGCGCCACTGCAAACAGGCGGAGCTGCCACACACCCACCCACCATTGAGATATAGGCATTTCTACAGAAAACTGGTGCCTATATCACTTGGCAGATCCTGTGCACAGTATTTATAGAAAAATTACACCTACTCACATTTATGGGGTTGCATGAATGGATAAAAATGTTTGAAGAATATATTGCTGGGCAGGCGTGTGAGATCCAGGCGGACAGCCTCCGGTCTCATAGCAATTGTGCTTTGCTGGTGGTCTTAGCATCTCCACATCCATAAATGCTCACCTGTGATTTCCCACTTGAAGCATGAAGTCATTTCCAGTTTCTAGCAGCAGAACCTTAAAAAGAACAGGGGGAGTAATTATGTGTGAGAAAACAGATAGCCCCATGAAAAAAGAAATCAGGGAAAACCCACACTCTAGTTTGCTCTGGAAGAGCTGCAAAATAAGTGTTTTCTGAGACCCTGGGAGGGTGAGTTAGGAAAAGAGTGAGAGATCTGAGAGCACTGACTGAACTGGGACCATGAAAGATGGAGGGCTGAGCTCTGACCTGGCACCTTTGGCAGCCATAGTAATGAAAGTTTTGTGCTATGCATTTAATTTGAGAGACCTGGGCAGGCTCTTTAACTGTTATCTTGGAGCTAAAAAGTCACACAATCACTTCCTCAAACAACGATTTGTAGTCAGACTGTGTTCATGTTAGTTGAAGGCAGATCACGGCCTCCCACAGGACTTCAAAGATAAGATAACAAGCAAACACACAAAAAATGTGGTCTGCCTTGAATTCCTCTGGAGGGTCACCAAGGCACTGCAAAGCCAGCTTTGGGCTGAATGAGCTGACTTACCCTTCAGTAAAATATGGCTTTATTCCTGCAAACCTCAGTACTTCAGAAAGGAGAGATGCTTGGGACAATCTTGTCTTTGGAGCAGAGGGGCAAACAGCACCTCCGCATTGACATTTTCATGTGTGCAATCTGCTGTGTCCAGGGATAGCACTGCTTAACCTGAACCACACTGCTATGCAGAAAATGGAAGCAGGGTGCAGGGTCAAAACAAGGGTGCTGTACTACCCAAGAGCAGCCAGGGGTGGGTGAGGAAGGAAGAAGTAAGAGGAGCAAGGCAAGAAGAAGATGGTTCATTGGATTGACACTTTCTCAGCTCTTGGTGGAAATGAAATTTAACTCTGACTCTCAGAGTTTAGTCCTTCTTCCCAAACCTGGCCAAGCCCTGCTGACACTTGTTTATGTTTTAGGAGCCTTCGCATCATCTAGTGGCAGTGAGCTCCATAGTTTAATTACACATGGTCTGAAAAAGCTTTCGTTTGCATTTATTTCAAATCGGCTCCTTGGTAATTTCAAAGTTCCCATTCTGTCCTATCTAATTTGGAGGATGTGTGCCCAGTGGGTAGACCATAAAACTGGATCTCTGAATTAATTCTATTTCCATCTCTGTCATTCTTCTAAAAGAGAAAGTATTATTATTCATTGGAGAGAGCTTCACCTTCAGCCAGCTCAATTAAAATTATCCCAAGCAAATAGTGATCTGGAATTTGGACTTAAATGATGTAGATGAATCTAACGTTCCCTGTACACCTGCAGAGGACAGGTAGAAGCTAAACTGGATAATAGAGGTAAAAATTTGATTTTATACTTCCAAGGCCTGTATTGATTGGTGGAATTGAAACTGCTGCCATCATGTTACAAAACAACTTCTCACACAATAGCAGACCCCATTACACAGCAGAATCCCTGCAGTCAGGGAAAGATAAGTCAAGATCCCACATGAAAAGAAAGGATGTGTAATTTCTAAAAACACCAATTTACATACTGGCCTAAGAACCATCTGTCTATCGAGCTGCTGTAATTGTGCAATTTGCTCCTATTGACACGTCTTCCTGTAACTTGTGGCTTTCCAGTGAAATACCACAAAAAAGAAAGAAAGAAAGAAAGAAAGAAAGAAAGAAAGAAAGAAAGAAAGAAAGAAAGAAAGAAAGAAAGAAAGAAAGAAAGAAAGAAAGAAAGAAAGAAAGAAAGAGAGAGAAAGAGAGAAAGAGAGAAAGAGAGAAAGAAAGAGAGAAAGAAAGAGAGAAAGAGAGAAAGAGAGAAAGAGAGAAAGAGAGAAAGAGAGAAAGAAAGAAAGAAAGAAAGAAAGAAAGAAAGAAAGAAAGAAAGAAAGAAAGAAAGAAAGAAAGAAAGAAAGAAAGAAAGAAAGAAAGAGAGAGAAGAGAAAGGGAGAAAGGAAGAAAGGAAGAAAGGAAGGAAGAAAGGAAGAAAGGAAGGAAGAAAGGAAGAAAGGAAGAAAGGAAGAAAGGAAGAAAGAAAGAATGAATTCAGCTAGGCCAAAGAGAGCTTCATAATCTGCCTGAAACCACACAGCTGAGAGAGGGAGGAGGAGATGCTCACAGATGTAAAGGAGTTACTCGGATTGAAAAGACGTAAGTGTCCATGTTAATTACAGTCTGGGTGACATGCTAGTCCTGGCAGCTGATCTCTCCCTTCTCTTGGCTTGGAGTGAGGACACCAGGGGTGGCAGGAAGAAGTGGAGCTGGGCTGTGTTGGGGCTGGCGGCCATGCCACCACGCATGGCTGGAGCTGGCCAGGCTGCATTCCCCCATGGGGGTGAGGGCCAGGAAGGGTGCGTGCAAACCTACCCAGCAGGCCTGGGATCAGGGACAGCCGCCACTGGGATTCCTCAGGGCTTTCTCAGCTTCCACTGTCCTAAAAAAGCCATGCCGGTGAGGTACGCTCAGGAATCCCCACAGACTCTCCATTAAGTCGCTAATTGGAGCTAATTATTGTGATGATGATTTATGAGCGGTGATAATGTGCTTGGTGCAAAAGAGACTGCAGAGCAGCACCAGTCGCCAGCCGGAGGCCCTGGTGACTGAGGGAGTGCAAACGTCACAGTCAACATCTCTGGAAAGGCAGCGTTCCCCAAAAGCACCTTGTGATGTGGGAAACAGCGCAGGGAGAAGGGAAATGGGCATCTAGGACACTTGGGCCTCCCCCCAGTGGTGCTGTCCTTCTGCTCCAGCTGCTCGGGAGAGCCACCTCTATCACTTCGGGATGTGTTCCCAGCAGGAGCAGAGGAGTGGAATGTCACGATTATCTGAGTGGTATTAAAAGCCTCTCCTCCACCCACAAGCTCATCAGGGGAGACCCAAGTGCACAGGCGCTGCCTGACAAGTGTAAGATTTGCATGATTCATGGCTTGTGTGTTCTTTTGCATTTGCATTTTTTTTCTGCCTGAAGACCTTTGCTTCTTCTTTCTCCCTGTAGAAAACAGTAATCTTCACCATGGCTGGTTGCACTGCACGATTCCCTTTTCCCCCACGGCCAAGATCTACACACATTTCCCAAGGTATTTTAAAGATGGGCTGGCTCTGCATAGCACTCGGGTAAGGAGGGGAAGAAGATAAAGAGAGTTGTTTGCTTGTTTTCTGGCAAAGCGGAGTGAGACACTGGAAATATCCCCTGTTTAGGCTATGCAAGGCTCTTCTCTCTCCTCATATAGCTCTCTGCCCTGGGAAATGGCAAAAGGGGGCAGCTGTCTGTGGGTCAGGCCACAAACTCAGTCACTCCTCAGCTGACAAGTACCTGACAACCGCCATCTCCCCATCTTTGGAGAGTCATTTCTCTTACAGAAAATGTTCCCCTGCTCCTTTTCCTGTAAATGAAATGGGCTAAATCAGTGTTGGCATCTCCTACAGAGCCCCTTACTCAGAGTGCTGACTAAATCATTGAAGGTATCAATTTTTTTGCTTGATTTTATTTCATTTAATAAAAAGGTAGAGGAGAGGGGGCTTAAAATTCAGTTGACAACAGCACGTTCTGTGGTAAACGAATACTCTCTAAAAGCATTTGCAAATCTGCAGCAAGGCCTCATGCATCAGAAAACCAAGCAAGGGCCTGGCTACAGAGATTCATTTTTTTCTCTCTTTTTTTTCTCCTTTTGTACAATTCAGTCCAAAAGGAGAAAAAAAAAGCTAATAATATGCAATGACAAAATTCACTCTGTAAAGTCAAGTGAGGGGTGGCTGAATTCTCAAGAAAGAATGTGGTTAAAGTCCACAGCTCTGAGCAGGGACTGTTCTCCTGAACCAGGCTGTCCCTGGGAGGCTCTGTGCCCTCGGCCAGGCCCTCTCCATTCAGTTCACACGGCCACTGGGAACGGACCAGGAGGAGGAAGGCTGGCCAGGATTATTTTTAGCCTGCCAGCATCCCTTTAAAGTCCTGCACAACACATCAATCCGTGGTGAATCCGTGCCTGAGCAAAGACTGATAGAGAGTTTGTTTTAAAAATTGAATGCAAATAGATGGCAGTTCAAAGTTCAGCCTGCGGGCTGCTGTCTGTTTGCCCTCCGTGCTGTAAAGATTGATCATGCCCTATGGGAAGGCGGTCAGAAGGAAAGCCGGGCCCTGCTGGACAACCCCTAATTTTCACGTCTGTTACCCTGGCCTTGCCTCATCAGGACAGAGCAAGATTGGGCAGATACATGAGGGATGCTTCACATTGCCTTCCTGTGACAAAAACGGGCCCTGGAGCGAACGTGTCACTTGGCACAAGGAAGGACACAAAGGGTGACACATCTGTGATATGGGAGTAGAAGAAAAAGATGAACACACCCATCATGAGTAACTCAACTGGTAGCTTCTGCATGCCCACATCGGCATTGCACTTGTGGAAACTTTGCTCCAAATTGCAAAATGTCACAAGCCACAAGGCTACTCGCTCAAAATGCTCTATTTAAACACCAATGGTTTCACCACATCACCTCAATAACTTGAACAGATGTTGCACAGCATCTTTCTGAGGTATCATCAGACTTGCTGTGGAAAACCCATCAGGTACACTGTGAGCACAAAACACTTCCCACATATTTTCTGGTGGGGCTTTCTCCTGCACATTACTTGAAGTGGAGTGAGGTGGCCCTGCTGCTCCTCAGGTGCAATGAGTAGGTCAGGAAGGAGGCAGGCAAGCTCTGCCTTGGAACTCACAGGCCAACATTCTGCCTGAAATGATGCACTGAGAGGTGGCAAGCTTTGTTTAAAAACAGGTAACTTCAGCCAGGAGTCCTCAGAGACAATAATGCATCTGTTTGACTTCCTCAGTGGATCAGCTGCGTGTTAATCATTGCTTCTGCTCCCCCTTTGCAGCTCTCCCTGTTTGTATGCTTACTAAAAAAAACACGTAGCCAGCCTTCCCATCAGCGAGCAGCTTGGGACATGTTGCTTGGAGAGTGACCTCCAAGTGGGCTGGGATTTGAATGTGAAACCCGCTCAGTTTGATCTGGCAGGAACTGCCGTGCTGCACAGCATGTATGTCTTTAGTAAGAAGGC